GGTGTTTCACCATGTTGGCCAGGCTGGTCTCAAACTCCTGACCTCAAGTGATCTACCCACCTTGGCCTCCTGAAGTGCTGGGATTACAGGCATGAGCTACCATGCCCGGCCGTTACATTTATTTTAAAATGTTTATTTCTTCAATCATAAATTGACCTTAGCTTACTGTAACATTTTTACTTTGTACACTGTTTTTATTTTTTGACTATTTTATAATAACACTTAGCTTAAAACAGATTGTACAGCTGTACAAAAATATTTTATTTCTTTATATCCTTATTCTATTAGGTTTTTCCAATTTTTTAAATTTTTTGTTAAAACTTAAGACACAAACATACACCTTAGCCTCACCCTAAATGGGGTCAGAATCATCAATATCACTGTCTTCCACCTCCACATCTTGTCCCACTGGAAGATCTTCAGGGGCAATAACATCCATGGCGCTGTCATCTCCTATGACGGCAATGAATTCTTCTGAAAGGCACTGCCTAAGGCTGCCTTATAGTTAACTCTGAGACACAGTCTCACTCTGTCTGGAGTGCAGTGGCGCAATGACGACTCACTGCAACCTCTGCCTCCCGGGTTCAAGCAATTCTCTGGCTTAGCCTCCCGAGTAGCTGGGATTACAGGCGTCCGCCGCCACGCCCGGCTAAGTTTTGTATTTTTAGTACAGATGGGGGTTTCACCATCTTGGCCAGGCTGGTCTTGAACTCCTGACCTCAAGATCTGTCCACCTTGGCCTCTCAAAGTGCTGGGATTGCAGGTGTGAGCCACCATGCCCAGCCAACTTTTATGTTTTATAAGTAGAAAAAGTGCACTCTAAAATGACAATGGGCTGGGCACTGTGGCTCACGCCTGTAATCTCAGCACTTTGGGAGGTTGAGGCAGGTAGATTACCTGAGATCAGGAGCTTGAGACCAGCCTGGCCAACATGGCGAAATCCTGTCTCTACTAAAAATACAAAAATTAACCAGGCATGGTGGTGAATGCCTGTAATCCCAGCTATTTGGGAGGCTGAGGCAGGAGAATCACTTGAACCTGGGAGATGGAGGTTGCAATGAGCCGAGATCGTGCCACTGCAGCCTGGGCGATAAGAGCAAAACTCGGTTTCAAAAAAAAAGGAGAAAAAGAAAAGAAAATGACAATGAAAAGTATAGTAAACATATAAACCAGTAACATAGTCTTTTATTATCATTATCAAGCATTAGGTACTGTACATAAATTGCATGCACTCTTCTTTTATATGACTGGCAGGACAATAGGTTTACCCCAGCATCAACACAAATACGTAAGGCACTGTGCTGCAGCATTATGATGGCTGCAGTATCACTAGGCAATAGAATTTTCCAGCTCCATTATAACCTTATGGGACCACTGCTGTCTATATGGTCCATCGTTGATGGAAACATCATTACGTGACACATGACTGTAATATAAAAGGCCAAACTGGGCCAGGCGCGGTGGCTCACGCCTGTAATCCCAGCACTTTGGGAGGCCGAGGTCAACGGATCACCTCAGGTCAGGAGTTCGAGACCAGACTGGCCAACATGGTGAAACTCCATCTCTATGAAAAATACAAAAATTAGCTGGGTGTGGTGGCGGGCACCTGTAATCCTGGCTACTTAAGAGGCTGAG